ATAGATCTTGAGAAGCAACAAAATAATAAGAGAACTTGATAACTATTAGGCTGATTCATGCTAACCATTCACAGAGATGGATATTGGTGAGACTTCAGTCAATACAGAATGATGTTTAGTGAGTCAGTTTTTGTAAGGTAGCATTCTAAATATGATACTAGCAGTGATTCGTTGGTTACAGTAGTTTACTTATTCAATTAACTGAACAAGACAAGCCTATTTCTTTTCCTTTTTTTTTAATAAAGAATTGAAGAAGAAACTTTAGGCAGGCATGGTATATTCATTTTCTCAAGAGAGGGAGTATGCCTCATGCTTCATGCTGGTTGCTGATATTTGAAATATTTACAAGTCCTGCTGGTACTGCTACACAGTTGTCCTTTACGGCCTCGGATTTGAATATTTCTTTTAGGCCGGATGGTCAAGATTATGACCTAATTTAACCTCCTTCCATTAAATACAGAAACGGCACTATTGTAAAGATATTCCTACTTTGATATCTTTGTGATTTTTCTATTTCACTTTGTCTTGATTCAGCATCCTTGCATAGGAAATGCTAGACTCAGCTTGGTTTACACTGTATCAAAGACTGTCTGCTTCCCTTTCTAACCCCTGTTCATGCAGTTCTCAGGAATTAATGGAGTTATGTACTACACTCCTCAAATACTTGAGCAAGCAGGTGTAGGAGTTCTTTTATCAAACCTTGGCATCAGTTCTGCTTCTGCATCTCTGCTGATAAGTGCAATCACAAATTTCTTAATGCTCCCTTCAATAGCTGTTGCCATGAGGCTTATGGATATCTCTGGCAGGAGGTAATTACTTTTGAGTAACTACTATGGAACAAGAATGAATATGATGTTTTTCGTAGTGCCTTCTCCAAATGGCTCACAAAGTATTTTGGTTTGATTTCTCATCTCCAATTGTGGGGTATTCTTTTTTGTTTGAAGGGCACCCCCTTCTTTTTTTAAAGGTCTAATCCCCTCATTAGTAGATGTGTCTGGAATTTGGACACAATGCATCTCCATTGCAGTAGACTGTTTGCTAGTTCGAGATGGAGTGATGGAGATATCACAAAAATTTCCATGCTTTAACAGATGGAATATTGAGGGTGCCCTTTGCCATTATTAGCACTAGAAAAGTATAATAGTAGCAGGAAGTAGTGGGAGTATACCCATTCAAACCAGGGTCTGAGGGTAAAAGGAAAAAGAAACCTTCCCATGCACTAAATTGTTGCCATCTTAAAGGGAGAAAGAAATCCTTTCCTTTTTTGTACTCCGGCCTGCTTCAAGTTCACTGTTGATCTAGAGTTCAAGCAAGTTTCAATGCCTACGGGAAGTGTTCCCACTCGTTTAAGACAAGGGGTCCTTCATCCATCTTTGTTTGTAGGTTTGCTTGGCCACATTTATAAGGTTCTCCTCCACAATGATTCTCACATAATAGACTTTAGCATCCTTTTTTTCTCTTTTCTTAAATATAGTAGATTTTTGCATTGTTACCTGCACTTAAGGCTGGATAAAAAGTGAATGGATGCCCTATTGTCCTTAGTTTCGATTCCTGCAAATCTGATTACTACCTTTGCCTTTCTGTATATTGTTGTATTGCAGGAGTCTGCTGCTAGGCACAATTCCTATCTTAATTATAGCCCTCATTGTTCTAGTTATTGGAAATTTAGTGAGTATGGGAACTGTTGCAAAGGCTGCTATATCAACAGTTTGTGTTGTTATGTACTTCTGCTCATTTGTTATGGGGTTCGGGCCCATTCCAAACATACTCTGTTCAGAGATATTTCCAACTCGGGTCCGAGGTATATGCATTGCCATCTGTGCTCTAGTATTCTGGATTGGGGATATTATTGTTACCTACACACTACCTGTGATGCTCTCCTCTATTGGCCTTGCTGGTGTATTTGGCATATATGCTATCGTCTGTGTTATATCATGGATATTTGTTTTCTTGAAAGTGCCTGAAACTAAAGGGATGCCTCTTGAAGTGATCTCGGAGTTCTTCGCTCTTGGTGCTAGGCAGGCTGCTGCTGCTAAGAACTGATCTGATCGTTTGACGACATGTTGCCTTGCCTAGTGCGCAGATTTTGTTTGCTTTCAGGTTTCCCTTGTTTGATATAGTGGTGTTTGCTATTCAGTTTTCTAAGTTGTTTAGAACAGTGCAAGATCTTTTAATGAGTTTTACGATTCTGCCAATTACAACTGCAGTTGTTTAGAACAGTGCCATTTATTCCTGTTTGGTTTGAAATTTGGTCATTTGATTAGTAGTAGTCATGCTTGTGAAAGGTTCTGCTGAAATACCGCAAAGGTGTTCACTTGTCTCTTTTAAAGCATCAATTGTGGTGATTAAACAAAAAATTCATCAAGCTCTTGAAACTCAAAGGTCCATTAATCATCTTGTTATCTCCTTGATCACTTAAGGCCCGACTTCGTCCATAGCAGAACTGTCCCTCGACGTATCTAGCTTTGCTTCATAGTATGTCCTCAGTCCTCAGTCCCTGCATATTGCCCCCCAAAAGAATATCAAGAATCTTATTCTTTGTATCTCTTTCGCTGAGCTATGTTGAGGAAAGAATAAAAAATCTGAAATAGCGCCAGCAACATCGGCACCAAATATATGCATCAACTTAAAGGAACAGAAGCTGGAAGGAAGTGAAAAGGAGGGTCAGAAGCCAATCTATATTTTGCAACTCTGTAACTAACAGATATGTTTTAATTTAATAATATTACCTTATTAAACAAAATAAAAAAGAAAAAACGATAAAAGAAAAAGGGTTTCAATAACAAGCATTGCTTGCACTATCCAGAGCAGTGTATCTCATAGACAGATCAGATAAGAGCTAGAATACGTTAATACCATACAGCAAAATCAGAGTTGAGGCAAATGAAATTGATCTTGTCACTTCTGTTAAACTATAGCTTTAAAGCTACTATAATGCTATAAATAATGCAAATTCAACTGCTAGCTGGGTTGATAGCTTTGGCTTCTTATATGACAACCAAAACTTAAGTTAGAAGACAGCAGTTGAGGCAGACGCCACCTCCCATATACTGAACTGTGACGATTTGGTGCAAATTTGCCAAACTATCATTACTACCAGTAAGATGCGGCAAAATTTTAAGTTATTCCATTATTTGGCACCAGTTCAAGTAGGCAACCCGCCCAAAATGGATCACTCTCTGAAGATCAAAATTTGTATGGAAAGGTGACCGTAATGGATTAGGTGGAAGAATGTCGGAGCCATCCACTCTCATCATTCCAGTGAAAAATTTGTAAAGGCATGTTGCCCCCCCAAGAAAAGATGTATGAGGAACCAACAAGCAGCATGACAATTAGCGCAAAATTCATCTGGGATCACTACTGACAAGCCTAGCCCCAACCTGGTCTAGCTTCTTCACCATCGCCGAGGACTTGAGGTTGCCTTCTTTCAGAAAAGCCTCTACCATTCTTTGCCCAATCTCCCTTCCTTTCTCCTCGTTGTCAGTCACTGCTACTGCCGTGGGCCCAGCTCCGCTTATGGTGCAGCCAAAAGCTCCTGCTTCCATTGCCGCCTTCTTCACACCCTCCATTCCCGGAATCAACGGTGCCCTCCTTGGCTCCACTATTTTATCGGAGGACAGTGCCTTCCCTAAAACCGACAGGTTTCCCTGCAACACGGCCGCCACTAACGCCGCTGCCTGACTACAATTCCAAACATGATGGGACATGGTTATCTGTTGCGGCAGTGCCGCCCTCATTTTCTTAGTTGGGGCCTCAAATTCCGGATTCACCAACACAAAGAACAACTCCTTTTCGTGAGGAAACTTCAACTGGATTAACTCCAGAGAATCGTAGCTCCTGATCAATACGAAACCCCCCATAATAGCAGGTGCCACGTTGTCCGCGTGGTAACCCGAGACCTTCGATTCCGATTCTAGCCCAGCAAGCACGAGGTCAGACGCGCCCAATGGGCGACCAAAAAGCTCGTTCACGGCGACAGCAGCGGCGGCGGCACTTGCGGCGCTGGACCCGAGACCACTGCCCAAAGGTAATCCCTTCTGGAGGGAGAGGGAAAGGCCAACGGATCGGATGTTGAGCATCTTCATGACGGAGATGGCGGCGATACCGGCACAATTCCAGAGGGGGTTTTTGTTGAGCTTCTTGCCGGCGCCGGAGATGTCGGAAATAGAAACCTCGCCAGGGTGAACATCGGGGTCGACTCGGAGAGTGACGTAGTCGCCGATGCCGTCGACAGCGCAGCCAAGGAAGTCGAAACCGGGGCCAAGATTGGCAATTGTGGCGGGAGCAAATGACTTGACGCAGGTGAAAACTGGTGGGGGCTCAGTGACGAGGGTGCGAGAGTGAGCGGAGAGATTGAGTCTAAAGGAGGGATTAGGATTGGGATTGCGTGAGGAGGTGATGAGGCTGAGATTGAGGGGAGACTGACAGAAAACAGCCATTGCAAAGAAGAGTGCGTGGCTAAGAGTATAGGAATAGTTTTGTTTTAAAAAGAAGTATTTTAGGTATAGAATAGTAAATATTTTGGTCAAAATTAAAGTGTTTATAAGCTGAAATTTGATAAGTTGGGGGAGACCAACTTATGACTTTTGACTTATTTTTGACTTATAAGTACTTAACTTATAAGTACTTAACTTATAAGCACTTTTAATTTTACCAAACGCGTACATAAGTCAAAAAGTATTTATAAGTCAGTTTGACGCTTAGCCAAACACCCTCTTAATCGTCTCTTCAAAATTTGCCCCAACCCAAGGTACCTAGAGCTGAAATGCTGATTGGGCTTGTTGTGAGAAAGAGATGAGGAAATCCATATCACAAGGAATAAACTGTTAAAGCAGACCAAAATGAGCTCAACTAACATGATGAAGCGGTTTAAGATTCAGTTAGCCCTTTGGCAATCCTATATTTTTGTCCATAAACGATATTACATTCTCTATCTCTCTTGGGTAACACCATTCAACACATTCATCACATCAATAGCCCAAAACATGACATCTCATCAATATCCCAAAACTTAACATCTTATTATATTAAATTACAAAATTATTGGGTTAATTCTTCGAACACTAGATGTTCTCTACATTCCGTTGTTACATGGTAAGATGTACAAGAATCAAAGGAGAACGTTTCGCAGTCTCTCTTTTGGAAATTGTTCATCATTTCAAGAAGCAATGGCGTTAGCTAGTGGAAAGGTTTTCCATTTCCATCCGCTTTCTTTTCAACCTATTTGCAGATATCTCTGCCTTCTCATCCACAAAAGACAAGAACTTCCTAAGCCGTATTGAATGTGATATTCTAGTTCTAGTAGAAGTAGAACACTGCGTTGATTCAGGAAAATGTCGCTTGAACTGTCGCAACATGAAGCAAAAATATACAAGCAGAGCAAAACAGCAAGTAACTCCACAAATGAGGAACAGACCCCAAAAGCTCTTCAACTGAAGCTGCTCTGAATCTGCTTCAGAACTCTGCCCTCCGCAAACTTTTCTGTTTAACCACTTCTTGTGAATCTTCTCTAGCTCTCCATTCTCAGATAATTGCAAGATTGCAGTTGACATGTCAATAGCTAAGGGTGAGTCTCTCGGAAATGCCTATAAAATTAATTGGATCAAGCTATCAGCTTATGTTACATGACTAGCTCTTTAGTTAAGTCATTTTGCCACTCATGTCCATTTATTACTTCGCTATAAGCGTTAGTAGGAGTATAGTACTTATATGAGTAAGGAAATACTTACGAATCCCCATCCACTTTTGGTAAACTCTGGGCCAACTTTTTGGAAACCACAGTAAGTTGATAAAAACTGATCCACATATGGACGTTCATCGACCACAGCAGCAACTCTTCCTTGTTCAAGGGCATCAGCATATTCTTCTGGTGATCCAAGAGGAACAAGCCTAGACTTTGCAATATTGACTTCTTCAAATAAGTAGTTCTCAGCAAAAGAGCCTACTTGGTACCCAATTGCGTCATTGCTTGTTACCAAGGATTCAATTCCTTGGATAGATGATGCGAGCTGTTGAACTGTTAGAAACGATGTCAAGCTTGCTGTATAGCTCGACGTAATTATCAAGATTACGAATAGCCATATAAGAAGTACAATTCGACCCAATGTGCTCACTGTGTTTTCTCCTGAAAGGTTTTCAGAATTGAACAATTATGCCAAAGTTTAACACTTCAAATTAAATAAATACAGTTATTATCTTGACTTTTGTGAAAGGAGGAGAAACTAGATACTTACTCGGGGCTCCGAATATAGTTGAGAAACTAAACCTGCAAGCAAAATAAGGGGTACAAGGGGATGAGTTCAAATCATAAAGATCAAGATACAAATTATGAGGTTGGAACTTCAAAGAAATGCAAGAAAATAGTATTCAAACACTGCTTTCTATAGCTTCTTGCGTAGCTTCGTAGGATCCTAGTACTTAAGTAGTTGCATTAACTTCCCATTAGAGTACTTAGAAGGCTAACAGAAAAGGCATCCAATTAACTCACCATAAAATTGTGACCACCTGCTTCTTTGGGGGGCCACGAAATTCATCATTAAATTTGTGCTCTAGTATCCACACTACGGTTCCCACAACAAGGCAAAAAGCGGCTATGACTCCCCACGCCAGGGGAGTAAATGGCCGCAGGAAAGCCCAAGCAATCGACCTCATCTTTTTCACATGTACCACCACCACTAACCCTGACTCTATATATGGTTGACTAAAATCCAATACCTTCGTGCGGTTCGTTACAATTGTAATGTCACCAACTGCAGCATCAAATTCCTATCACAGAATAAGAAAACAATGTTATACTGAATGTTAACTACACGTAAGTTTTGCAACTTTAAGTAGGGGGAATAGCAATGCCATTGACGGTACTCACATGGGCTGTGATCATGTTTACTAGCTGAGTATAGCTTGGATTTTTGTGTCCATCTCCGAAAATGATGAATTGATGTGGCACAGGGTATGAAAGACACTTCAAGGCTGCAAGGAAGACATCTATGCAATATCCTTGGACCACTCCACTACCTTCCTTTTCTGAAACAAAAGCTCTGAAGCCCACTCTCCTTGGGACTCCAATCCTTAACGGCCTCCCATTGTCCGGAAATACCCATCCACGCGGTCTGATTTTAGTTTGCCCTGGCCATATAACCTGATCCAACCGTTGAGTTGAACTTGACCTATTAGCTGGTTTGGCATAAAGAGACTCCGGAGGCACAACGGATAGCCCAGAGTAGTTACACCAGTATCCTATTTGCCTTAACCATCCTTTGCCAACTACATTGAGAATATCAAATGAGGGACGGAACATGGATCTATCTGGTTTAAATGCAATGGGACCACTTACCCCAGTCATGTTGGTCTTTAATATGTTACTAAGCAATTGCTTACCACCATCAAAAATGCTAAGTGCAGCAAGGTTCATCGTCTCTCCAGCAAAACTGTCCAAATTAGAATCATTTGAGTAGGAGATTTTGCCTCCATGATCTAAAAACTCTTCAACTGCGTAAGCAATCATCCAAACAGTATCATAGGCGTATAGACCGTAGGCATTCAAACCAATGGATCCATTACTCAACTTGTTCCACCTTGATACAAAAGCCCTCTTCTTTTGGGAATCAGGTGTATGAGACCGAAGGGTGAGAGCACCTTGTATAGAGCTAGCCACCTTTGTTGAAACTGAAGTAGAATCAAGGACACTGGAAAGCCAAGAAGTAGCAATCCAAACATATTCACTCGTCATCATGCCAAGTTCCTGGGCAACCTCAAAGACCCTGAGACCTGTTATGGATAATGTATGTAGAACAATAACTCGGGACTCGATTGATTTAACCTTAAGCAACTCAGCCACGATCAGGTCACGACTAGACATGGGTTCAGGAGGAAGAATTGCCTTGAAAGAAATCTTACAAAGTTTCTCAACAAGTTTATCACCTAGAGCGGCAATACTATTTCGACCTTGATCATCGTCTGAGAAAATTGCAATGACCTCTCTGTATTGAAAATAACTGATCACATCGGCTACGGCAGTCATTAGAAAAAGATCACTGGGGGCAGTCTGAATGAAATAGGGGTACTGAAGAGGTGAGAGTGTGGGGTCCAATGCTGTGAAAGAAAGGAGCGGGACATGGAGTTCGTTCGCAAGGTGAGAGAGTGCATGGGCCATTACAGAACTTTGAGGGCCAATCACAGCTACTGTATCGGTCTCCATGAATTGTAACGCTGGAAAGAGATAACAGATATATATTCAACCGGCCAGAAAAGTAGAAAAAAGTTAACAAGACGATCTAGTCAAGTGATATCTAAGAGCAGTGAGAGATAAACTGAAGAACAGTAGTATGAAAAGGTGAGAACTACATATATATATACCTCCAATGATCCCAAGGAATCCGCTGTAGTTTGAATCATGGAGGGTGAGAGCAAGTTTTCTTCCGTCGAGAAGAGTGGTATCAGAATTGACGTCTTGGACAGCAGCTTCCATTGCGATTCTGGCAACCTTGCCGTTGGTGGTTCCAAAAGAAAAGATGGCTCCAATCTTCACCTCATCAACTTGTCTTTGCTCCTCTGAAGATTGTCCAATAAAACAGACGAATAGAAGCAGAAACCAATTTAAATTCATGATGATGCCTCCAATTGCAATTAATTCTTTCGTAACTGTACAAGGATCAAATTACCAACAAAAGTAAAATACAACCCAATGTTAAAGACTATAAACATTGGGACAGAGACAACCGCAGAGACAGAGAGGAAGCGACCTAAAGTTTTTTAACTCTCAGAGAGGAAACAGACAGGACAAGAAGTGTCCTTTCGAAGAGGAAGTAGTGATACTAGATTACAAAAGTGGCAAGCCAAGGTCTTTCATTGGTTTGCCAGATAAAGTGAAGTTTTAGTCCTTTTTCTAAAGGATATCACGAGATATAGACAGATCACTCAAGTAAAAGAAAAGCCAATAAACTGGCAGTGGAAATTGCCAAAATCAAAATGGCCAACCACCCGAGTAATAAAAAGTTAGTAGAACATAGCTATGACAAAGGCATTAGGGATTAAACAAAGAAAAATAATCCAAAAGGAAGGATGGACGGTGACCCGCTTTGACATATTTGAGATTTATTAGGATATGAGCAGAATGAGAATACTTGAGTATAAAGGAACTTAAGTATATACGTTTAATAGCTAGCTTGTCATTCTAGGATTACTCATTATGCAACTTGCTCGGTTGGACAACCACTCCACTTTTACGCGCATAAAACATAAAATTATAACATAAAAGTAAGATATCCGNGTAATGATTCTTCGCCACTTTCGTCCAATGCCACAGGAATGCTGTTGCGGAAGCCAAATGTATATAGTGTGAATAAGTCACAACTACTATACCTCGTAAATTATGGTGTTCCTTTTATTGTTGTTTTATTGTCTTATTTATTATTTGGTGGCTGTCATAATTTTTGGTATAGTAGTTGTGACTTATTCACACTATATACAATGGCTTCCGCAACAAATGCTACATTTTTCTACAGTAAGATGTTGTCATTATTAATACCACCCCACAGCGTACAGGCCTTGGATTGGAAATTCGGAAATCTATGATATTATGACACATCTTGGTGCAGCGCAAGAATTGGAAGAAAAAATGTTGCAGCATTATATTTCCCTTTGCAGAATCAATTATATTCCTGTTTTACTCTGAGGCATCCATTTGACTTCCAACAACGACAACAATAACGACCCAGTATAATCCTACAAGTGGGGTCTGGGGAGGGTAATATGTACGCAGACCTTACCCCTACCCCGAAGGGTAGAGAGGCTGTTTCCAGGAGACCCTCGGCTCAAAAAAAGCAACAGGAGCCGATATATTAGTACCATAAAAATGCATAATAAAATAACAGCAATATACGAGATATGAAATACAGAATACGAAATACGAAATAGATGGCTGGTATAGTAAAACTAGCAGGTAAAACCCTGCATCAATAGACGACTAATGACATTCTTAGTCTAAATCCTAACTGGCTAATCTCACTCTATTGTGCTGTAGAAATATTCACAAGTTTCCCCTAACCTACAACCTTAATGCTCGACCTCCATAATTCCCTGTCAAGGGCCATGTCCTCAGTAATCCTAAGTCGCGCCATGTCCTGTCTGATCACCTCTCCCCAATACTTCTTAGGTCGCCCTCTACCTCTCCGCGTGCTCACTACAGCCAGTCGCTCACACCTCCTCACCGGTGCATCAGTGCTCCTCCTCTGAATGTGCCCGAACCATTTGACTTCCATTGTTCAAAAACTATCAGTTTCATGGATATTAATAGCACAAATTTTCAACGCGGAATTGAGTATTCAGGCAAGTATTATCATGACAATTTGCTGGGTTATGAATGTAAACAGAAACATTCTCTCGTAATCTAATTTTAATGTGGGCTAGTGGTGGCACTCCTTTAGTCCTATTGTATGATGAAACCTACACCTTGCTTTATTATCTTTGTTCGTTAATAACTAATATAATGATCATTTTAACTTGTCAATGAAGAAAAACAAACAATAGACAATGATAGTGTACATACCGAGGTAATATTAATTTATAGGAGCACCATTTAATGATCATAACCCGTGAAGTTTGAACCGAGACACAGGACAGTAAATATTGATCAAATGAGGAGACCCAGCAGCATAGATATAGCAAAGAGTGGAAGACCATCACTTAGACGCATTAGGTTTCTCCTGCAAGGGGAAAAAGGTGTTGGAAAAATTGATTATGGAGAATAAGAATTAGCTTGAGGCGTGTTAAGGACACTGTCCTTAAGGATATTTCGCCCACACAGTGATAGATAAAATTAGGCGTATCCCCAGGATTCAACATGCTCTTCCAGTTATTAAACTGGGAACAGAACTAGCAGAAAACTCAAGAAAGAAACCCAGCATACAGAAGGAAGAAGATGATTCAGAAAGTTGTATTAGAAAGTGTGTATTTAGCTCTCTAAAGGCCATGTTTATATAGGTATTGCTCCAACGGCTAGTTAACGGCTAGTTTGACTCTATTAATTGTAAAATAACTTACTAAATAATAAGTAGATGTAAATAATATTTCAAAGAGAAATGTTTTCCCAAACCAAGATGGACATTGCCTTTTGAGATATCACTAATTTTCCAACAATCCCCCACATATCTCAAAAGGGATATAAAAAATAAATAGTAAACAAAGAAAGAAAGAAAGAAAGTGAGAAAAATTTATTGGGTTTCGGGTATAATGAAATTCATATGGTGTCTTAAAGACTATGAACCAGATATAGATAAAATAAGATTTAACTTACAGAATAATTGGTGAAGTTGATAACTTCTATGAACCAAAAATTCTTGTTGTAAGCTAGGGATCTTATTCATCATATTACACCCCCACAATTTCTGTTGTTATCGCAGTTTTGCGCTAATAGGCCATGCGCGCACCTGGTATTTGTTACATCTCGCGTTTTTCGTACGTTAAAGTTTCGTCTTCAGTTAATTGACATAAACTCGGGGATGAGATTATCTTGAGGTTAGCATATTTAGATCTGTTCGTGGTAGTCTTTATTGATGATATTTTAGTTTATTCACGTACAGAGGATGAGCATGCGGACCACCTGCGAGCGGTACTCCAAACCCTCCGTGATAACAAATTATATGCTAAGTTTTCTAAATGTGGGTTCTGGTTGAAGTCTGTAGCATTTTTGGGGCACGTTGTATCCGATGGAGGTATAAAGGTAGACACTCAGAAGATTGAGGCTGTGAAATCCTGGCCTCGACCTACCACTCCAACAGAGGTTCATAGCTTTCTAGGCTTAGCAGGATACTACCGGAGGTTCGTAGAGGGTTTTTCTTCTCTTTCGGCACCATTAACGAAGTTGACGCAGAAAGCAACTAAGTTTCAGTGGACGGAGGCTTGCGAGCAGAGTTTCCAGGAGCTTAAGAACAGGTTGACTTCAGCGCCAGTTCTAGCACTTCTAGAGGGTCCAGATGGTTATGCCATGTATTGTGATGCCTCAGGTGTCGGATTAGGATGTGTCCTGATGCAACATGTGAAAGTAATTGTGTATGCTTCAAGGTAGTTAAGGAAGCATGAACGGAATTATCCAACCCACGACCTCGAATTAGCTGCGGTCATCCATGCACTTAAGATATGGCGGCATTATTTATATGGTGTTCATGTTGATGTATTCACAGATCATAAAAGCCTGCAATACATCTTCAAGCAAAAAGAGTTGAATTTGCGGCAGAGGCGATGGCTTGAGTTATTGAAAGATTATGATGTTAACATGCTCTACTATCTAGGGAAAGCTAATGTTGTAGCAGACGCCTTAAGTCGCCGATCTATGGGTAGCTTAGCACATGTAGAGGCCGGAAAAAACAATTAACTAGAAATTCATCAATTGGCTTGTTTGGGGGTTCGGTTAGTAGACTCTGGCAATGGTGGAGTTGTACTCCAAAATACTGCAAAATCATCTCTCATAGCTAAAGTAAAGGAGAAGTAGTACGAGGACCCAAAGTTAGCCGAGTTGAGAGAGCGAGTTCCGCAGCAAAAGAAGTTGTTGTTAGAACTCAAGGGAGACGGGGTTCTCAGATACAAGGATCGTTTGTGTGTTCCAAATGTAGCAGGGCTATGAGACAAGATTATGTCAGAGACACATTATGCGTGGTACTCCATTCACCCTGGGTCAACGAAGATGTATCATGACATTAAGGATGTGTATTGGTAGAACGATATGTAGAAGAACATTGTTGAGTATGCCGCTCAATGCCCTAGTTGCTAGCATGTGGAGATAAAGCACCAGAAGCCTGGAGGGCTAATGCAGACTATAGATATCCCGACATGGAAATGGGAGGCGATAAACAGGGACTTTATCACGGGTTTACCTTGTTCTCATCGTAAGTTCGATTCTATATGGGTGATAGTCGATAGGCTCACGAAATCAGCTCATTTCCTACCGATCAGATCTACATATACAACAGAAGATTCAAAACTATATATTGAGGAGATAGTGCGACTACAAGAAGTACCAATATCTATTATATCTGACCGTGGGGCCCAGTTTACAGCACATTTTTGGAGGTCATTTCAGAGAGGTCTAGGAACTCAGGTGAATCTCAGCACAACTTTTCATCCGCAAACTGATGGGCAATTCGAGCGCACAATTGAGACGCTCGAGGATATGTTACGAGCATGTGTGTTGGATTTTAAAAGAAGTTGGGATGAACATCTACCTCTTATCGAGTTTGCATATAATAACAGTTACCACTCCAGTATCCAAATCGCCCCGTACGATACTTTGTATGGTCGTAAGTGCAGATCTCCTATAGGGTGGTTTGATGTTGGAGAATCTGGGTTGTATGGGCCAGACCTGGTTCAGCAGAGTCGTCAAAAGTCATATTTTGACGTGTGGCGACGAGATTTAGAGCTCGGGATTAATGATTGGGTATTCTTAAAGGTATCACCTATGAAGGGTGTGATGAGGTTTGGCAAGAAAGGCAAACTAAGCCCACGGTATATTGGGCCTTATAGGATCATTCGGAGAGTGGGCCAAGTAGCATATGAGTTAGAATTACCCTCAAAATTGGAGTCTGTCCATCCGGTTTTTCATGTATCAATGCTACGGAAGTGCTTTGGCGATCCTTCCAGAGTGGTGCCCACGGATGATGTACAGATTACGGAGAATTTGTCATATGAGGAAATCCCGATTTCTATCCTAGACCGACAAATTCGCAAGCTACGGAATAAGGAAATAACCTCCGTGAAGGTTTTATGAAGGAGCAAGAATGTGGAAGAGATGACGTGGGAAGCGGAGGAAGAAATGAAGTCTAAATACCCTCACCTATTTCAAACTGAAGATATGGCTCGAGGTGGGATACCTCAGCACAGCT